TATCCTGCCGATAGTGTCGGTAACAATATTCAGATGCGCGATTGCATCCTGTATATCCCGTCGTAGGCGTTCTGACGGAGGAGACATTCAGTGAACAGGGCAGATCGTATTATCGAGCCACCCACCTGGGTCAAGGTCAGATCGCTTTAATGTCGCAGTCACCGCACCAAGCCTCTCCACAAGTGCTCCTGCGATGACTTTGAGCTCAGAGATCTGGTCAGCGGCGAGGCTGCGAGGGGACGGCTGTGGTTGATCCTTGTGTGACACATGACCGAAATCTTTCCAGCTCCCAGTATAGCCGGCACCTGGAAGTCCAAGGCCCATGTTCGTAGCCGAAAACGTTCCATAGAGCCGTTTCAGACCCGCGCTGGACGGACTCTGGGGCTGCACACCTTTTCCCTGGAAACAGTGTACCTCCGTAACATATGTATCGATAGCACGTTCGAGCTCCACGATATCGCTTTCCACCCGGTTCTGCTCGTCACCGATCAAAAGGCCTGGATCATACTGCATTGTCAGCGCCGACAAAACCAGCCTTGAGAGTGTCCCCGCGACTTTCCGCTGCATGCCCTTCAAGTGCGGCCGCAGTGCGCGATCAGCGGATCCCTGTCGCGCCTTTCGCATCTCGCGCGGGTACAAATGACTTGGGATGTGCCCTGAAGGCGTCGCGGTCACGTATAGCAGGTCGCGCACCGCGTAAACGGCCTCCCGCACCCGCTGGTCCACCTCAGCGCCCTGCGCGGCTCTTCTCAGTCCATCCTCGCCATGTAGCACAGTCTCTGTCACGCTGGCGATCGCTTCTCGGACACGAGTTGACAATTCCATAGGCGAGTCCTCCGTGGATGCCGTCAGTGTCTGCTGCAGCGCCTGCGCGAGCTGTTCTGCGGGTGCGAGCTCGGCCTGGCGCCGAGGTACCCCCGTAGGAAAGACGTCTGCGGACGACCCAGACCGCTCACGCCGCGTAGGGAATAATTCGGAGTCATCAGAATGAATGTTGCTCGTCGCTGAACCCAATCGCAGACGCGGTACGCCAATCCCATTTCTCGAGGAGGGGTCTGACGGTGGAGATGTCCCTGAAACCGTCCCGTTCAGCTTGTTGACGTAGTAATAGGATAGGCCGTCATCAGCCAGTCGTCGCACCCACGCTTCCGGCACGTGCGAACGCTTGGACGAGGCGCCAGATCCGGCAGTCGCTGAGATTGCTGCGAGTGCAGATATTGGGGATGTGAACCCAGTGCGATCGGCTTCACAGTCGTCTTCCACCACCTGTGGTAGATCTCTCGAGTGCTGGCGAGTTTGTGTGTTGACGTAGAAGATCTACGTGGGCAGGAAGAATAGATGATGTGAGAAACAGATAATGGTTGGGGGTAGCAAATGACCGGGAGACAGAGTCCAGATGGCGTTGAAGTGGTGTATGGGGGGTTAGATAACGCAAACATCGACGGCAAGTTCGGTTGAACATCCAGCGAGCAAGATACCAGCAAGGAGGTCCACCGGAAGTGTCAGTCAGTTGATTCGGTAAGTATGTAGGTACGGGTAAAGCCGTGTGTGGTGGGAGGTGATGAGGAGTGGAACAAAAGATACGTCGCGGGAAAGGTGAGTCCGATGAATAACATTATGGAATACGCAACCAGGAGCCGAGATATCATTTGTCCGACGAGAAAGCAATAGAGATATGATGAGCAAAACGCAAGCCATGAGCGAATGACGTTTGGGTAGCTTAAGACGGGGCACTCACTCGGCCGTCTTTGGAGACTTGGGGCACCCAGAAGTCGTACGCAGACTTTCCATCTGTATGAGGACGACTATTCGCATAATTCTGAACGTCCACATCGCCGCCCATCCGTTCACCATTGCGGTCCGGCTGTGAGACTACCAACGAATCGTTCGGATGAGAGGGTGCCACCTCCGACGGGCCAAGAGCGGCTTTTGCCTCCTGGTCAGATATGATGGTGACATAGTTACAAGGAAACCAGCCGCGTTTGCCTCCTAAGAGCCCATCCCACCATCCAGATTCGAGCTGAGTGAGAACTTGGACAATATCGTTCTTGCGGAACGAGAGGGACGAGGCGTCCGCGGTCCGGTAGTCGTAGAGCACGCGACAGAAGAGAGTGGGTATATATGGCTCGTCGGTTTGTGGTTTTCGTTCTGTTGGATAGCTCGTAGACGCGGCTATAGGACAAGCAGTAGTGGAGGCTGATATCATAGGCGAGGTTGTGCTGGCAGACATTGGGTGGAGAGCAGATGGCAACACCAAGCACTGAAGACCGAGGGGGGGTAGGTGTATTCGTCTGTTTGATGCATACACCCAGGATGGCAATAGCCAAAGGTGGGTTGCATAACGCCCGGTCGTTGTCCATAGCGGCGCTGATTCGATCAATGGCAATGCGGTACGATCTAGTACGATCTGGCGAGTGCGTGCGAGAACACTCAATCTTATCGATCTCATCTCGCCAACTCTCGAGCTTCGCTAGTGGGACTTGTACTACTAGGCATGATTCCAAGCTGCTCTTAGCTTCCGCCATAATGCCTCATCATGTTGCACGACAGCACCGAGGTTGGAAACACTCGCGATGGCCAACAACCCAAGACCCGTCGTCTCACTCAAGCTCTGGGAGCAGATCCTCGATGAAGTAGCAGCCGAGATGAATCGCAGAACACCACGCGCCTGCTCGCTCGTTTCCAAAGCATTCGTGCACAGGTGCCGCACTCGTCTCTTCCACACCATCGTCATACGCAACGCGAACACCCTTCATCATCTTGCACGCCTTCTTCGACGAGAGCCTCACATGGCGCCCTACTTCGATTGCATGCGCCAGTTGGACGCATATGGGGGCGATCTCGGACGCAGTCACAGCCAGCCAGATCAACTGGTGTACCATGTCTTGATTGAACTCGCTGGGGCTGTATCGACCGTCGAGAGACTTCATATCTACCCGGA